TCTTCGCCGGAGTCGTGTATGGCTAGCCTGCCAAGTTAAATTCTGCAAAGTCTATTTGGATGGTTCCGAAGCTTAAGCTGGTACTTTGCTTTCACCTTTGCGATTTCATCTTTAACAGGTCCCACATTTAAATCTTTCCGGATATTTTCACACAGCATGTACCTGGGTGCCTTAGTGATGGTTCTTAGTATCTTCGATTGAGATCTCTCGATTAACTCTAAATTACTAATGGAAGCGTTTCCCCACAGTTCAGAGCCATATGTCCAAATTGGTTTGAGAACTGCATTGTACAAGAGTACTTTGTACTCCAATTATAGAAGTGAACGGACATTTATAAGCCAATTTAGATTAATAGCTTTTAGTTTCACCAAGGTAAGTTACATCGTTTTTTTTTGTGGAATATTGATGTTGTTTACTGACAATGGAGGACAAGTTTGTTTGTTTAGGGTAAATGTGACATGTTTGCACTTTTGCTCGTTTACATGTATGCGCAGTCTGCTAGCCATTCTTTTATGGCCACGAGGTGAGATGATAAGAGTTCTGTAGCTCTTGGAGTACACCAGCTACAATTGGATGGTATTCGGAGAGGAACTCTTTGCATCTAACTGCGAAACTTCTTTGCTGTAGGTATGACTCCAGTATTTTATGGATGTTCTGTGGAAGTAATATTTTGATTTTGTGAACTAAGCCATCCAGCCAAACGCGGTCAAAGGGTTAGGCAACATCCAGAAAACCAGCGGAGCAATTCTCTCGTTTTTCAAATGCATTTCGTATCTCAGAGGTTATTCGGTTGACTTGTTCAATGGTTCCATGTTTTTCGCGAAAACTAAATTGGTGATTTGGGATTACACTTATGGTGTGTAGGTGCTGCTTGATGCGATTCAGAGATAGTTTTTCGAATATCTTCGATAGGCACGGCTGGAGGCTAAATGATGGTGGCTGAGACTTGTCCTTTCCGGCTTTAAGGATCATTGTGATGACAGATTTTCTCCATTGTTGAGGATAATAGCCCCATTTCATCATGCTGTTGAAAATGATGGCGAGAAAATATACTGCACCGTTCGGCAATTCAATGATCATTTTGGGGGAAATTAAATCGTGGCCCGGCTTTTTTTTTGCTTTGAAACTTGGCCCTTAATGACACATGTAACTTCCCCTGCTTGGAATACGATAGGCGTGGTAGCTTCAAGATGATTGGTTAGTGGGAGCACAAAGCTATTTGTTGCTGGATGTGGTTTGAAGACTTTTTCTAAATGGGCGGCAAATACATTTGCCTTCTCTTCGTTGCTGCGAGCCAACTTCCCTCTTGTGTAGGTAATGGTGATTCACTCTCGATTGGTGAACATAAGCCTGATTTAGCTGATTTAGCTGATTTAGCTGTTTAGGGAGAGTTGCTCCATTAGTCCATTTGAGCTCGGTGTTTCTCATCTTCTAGGGCTTTGTGTAGTAGATGGTTGGCTATATTTAACTGCTCCTTTAAGTCAGGTGAGCTCTGCGCTTGCAACTTCCGCCGAAGCCCTCTCTTATTTCGTAGCAGCTCTTTAATATGCCTGGGAACACGACTGCTATTGTAAGGTTTATAAGCTGTGATTTCTGGAGTGGAATGTTTTGCCGCCAGTAACATTACAGACACTAATGCTTCAACTGAGGTATCTATGTCAACTTTGCAGTCAATGTTTGGGCAGACATCAATATGGGAACTTACGTACTCCCTGTATTTAAGCCAATCTGTTGTTCTAGAAGTTAGAAAGTGTGGGAGGTCCGAGTACTGTGGGTGGTCATAAAGGTGAAGAAGGATTGGCGAGTGATCCGATGATAGATCTGTCAAGTGCTTTACACAAATCTGAGCATGAGGCACTCTTCTTGTAGCAGCAAAATCAATCAAGTCTGGTTGCTTCTTTGGATCTGTGGGCCAATATGTAGGTCAGCCCGGAGAAATCAAGTTCAGCTTGTTTCGTGGTGTTATTACAGCGTTATACAGTTGGCTTCCTTTCGGGTTGATAAGTCAGGATCCCCAATGTGTGTGTTTGGCATTGTAGTCACCAGCTGCTATAAAGCGGTCACCTAATAGGTCGAAGAAATGTAAAAATTCTGCTTCTGAAACGGAGAAGCGCGGTGGGCAGTATACTGCGTCTAGGCTTAAATAGCCGCTTTGTGTTTCGATATGAATTGTTGTGGCCTGTAGATAAGTTGTAGCAAATGATGGTAACGGATAGTGCCTGATGAGCCTTATCATCGGGATGATTGGTCGCATAAAAGTTGTAGTCATTCAGATGAAAATAATTTGTGTTTGTTAGGTGAGTCTCTGATATGAGCATGGCGTCAATGCCATGTTGATTGAGGAACTGCATTTGTGCTGTGAAATGCCATTCGCATTCCAGAAAAATATTTTTAGTGAAGTCTTTGATTAGTAATTCCAGGAGGAGATTTTGATGGCGAATAATATCCTGCATCGTTTGGTGCATTGCTACCATTGTATTTGTTAGAGTTGCGAGAATTGATTCAATTCCACTAGGCAATAGGGATTGATTTGCAGTGGTATGTTGGGTAGTAGTTTCTGGCCCCTTTTGCGATGTCTGACGATTCGTTATTCCTGCAGTGGTTTGTTTAGAAACTGAGGCGTGCCACTCGTTGGTGTAACTTAACGCATTAGCAAAAGATACTCCAGGAATCGTAGTTGATGTATGGCAAGTTTTGTCGGATGACTATATTTCGACCTGCGGATTTTTGTTGACTTAGGCGACTCTTTGCATACAGGGCAACCTCTATAGTTGGCAGTGTGGTTTCCCCCACAGTTGCTACATTTTTTAGCAGAGGGTTCCTCCTTTTTTACAGGGCAAGCCTCATTGAGATGTACGTGCCCGCAGGCAACACAGACTGCGCCTATGGTACAATAGATTTTTGTGTGTCCATATTCCTGGCAGTTTGTGCATTGGTTCTTCAGCGGTGATTTTACGGTGCAGTAGATATTGCAGCTTATAACATGGGGAACTACCTAGAATATTGGTTGGGGAATTTTATTTCTATTTATTATGTTCATGGCCATTTTGAATTCAAAGCCCTTATCTTTAAGTCCATATTTTATCTCGTTGATTGGAACTGTTGGCTCGATTCCTTTATTAACTACTTGTAATCCCTTGCTACTTTTAAGTTGGGAGGTATAGTAGTTCATCTTGTCATCGTCGAGGTATTTGACCAGTGATTGATAGGTATGAAACATCATTAACTTGTAATTTAGTTTCATTTATACTACCCCTTTTTATAGACGTAACATAGAATTTGTTTTCGCCAATTTTGGTAGTGAGTTTTTTAACTAATTCTGTACAATTTGGCTGCCGGGCAGGTCGCAGTGAGTTGATAATACCAGGCGCTGAGAGACTGCTGTTGTTGTTGTCGTTGACGAAGTCGGAGACACAGTTTAAGCGAGAGCATTATACTAGTCGTTGTTGTTATCAGCAATTCATTGGTAAGACAGTAGGGGTCTGGAGACGGGCACTGGGCAGTCCATGACCCACTTTGCAATGTGATGGGTGAGCATATTAACGCAGGGGAGAGAGAGAGTAATGCAGTTGTTGTTCGTACCGTCACATCGGGTGCGCGTATAAAAAAGTAAAAAAGTTATTGTTGCTGCCGAGCACGATTCTGGCTAATTTTTTCCTTGTTGTTTACAGAGCTTATGCTCTTACTCGTTGGCATTACCTTATTTTTTCACAAAATGTAGTTTTTCTTGTTCTAATTACAATATAAGCTCAACCACCACACCAACTTAATCATAAATTAAAAAGCAATATTTTCTGCTTATTTATGCCCACCTGGTAAGTTATGATTTTCTTGTGTTATTCGATGTTTGTTTTTTTTTTTTTTTTGTTGCCAAAATATGTTATGTTTTTAAAGTACAGCAATAGCAGGATCACAAGCAAGCATAACAACATAATTTGCAATAGTTAAAAAATACGAGAGAATTTCAAGGGCATGCTGTAACGAAGAGGGACGAAGATACAAAAAAAATTTCACGAAAGTGATAAAAGTGCTGGCGAACGAACACAAAGGTGAAACGCCAACTGTTAGCTCTAAACGTTTTGCTACTTTTTTGTTTTGGTATTTTCCTTTTAAGTCGATTAATCGTAAAGCTGAAAAAAAAAGAAGTTTATTGGCGTTTTCGATAAGATTAAACATTATCAGCGACAATTTCAAGCAATAGTTTATAAATTTAGGCATGCATTTGACTTTTTAACATTACTCGACTCTCTAACAATAAATTGGTGTTTACATGTTTGTTGAACATCGATTAAATCGATTTCGAACCACGATGTTTCACTTTTTTGCAGCTCTACAGTGAATACGGGTACTAGAATGATATAAAGAAAGTTATCAAAGTTATCGGAAATTTGTAAACGAAAAATCGAAACGAGTCGTCAAATCCTGTCAGTTTTGTAATGCAAAGAAATTGTTATTCTTAACTTACCCTCGCGAATTGTGTCTTTGTACTCAAGCAGAAATATTAAGTAGTGATAATATAATAAGAAAACCCAGTTTATTGCAAATGTTGCATATGTGTTAAATATATTTACATATGCATATATGTACTTATGGACTTTTGTATGTGTGTACTTATTGTCATATGTAGGTACATATACATATGTATATACATACTACGCACTTGATGTAAACATCATACGTACATACATACGCATGCATACATATACATACATACATACATACGCATATACACATACATATGTGTGTTCAGTTTATGTTCATATAAGCAAAACAAAAATTCAATCTCATGTTTAGGGTTGTATGGTAAAAATAAATAAAATATATTATTTGCTTTTATTGCATTTTGAAAATACTTATAATAACATAGTGAGAGCTATATTGTCACAGTTTATTTTAATGCGAATGCATTTTTACTTTACTGAAATATTTTATGAAGTGTAAAGTGATTATTAAGTCCCTTGTGCATAAAATTTTTATTATAGTAAATGGTCACAAAGGGGGGATAATTAATTAACAGTGTTACCTCAGTTTATCGCCATTTTATGGACTTTTTGAAACCCCTTCACGGATATATTGGGAAACATAATACTTGGACGGAGTCATTTTCGGAGAATACAGTTTCGTAAGGCAATTCGTAATGTGGTACGTAGAATTTAGATGCGTCAACGATGTGAGATCGAAAAAATATTTTTTTGGCCAAATTAACTGGGTATCTCTTAACTTCGCATGTTTCCTTTTTCTAAAACTATCCATATAAATTTATCGGTGGATGGAATCATCGTCGCCTCTTATGAAGCAGATTTCCGAAAACCAGGCTCAAGATACCGGTAACAACGCATTTTTGCAAAAACTCAATGGGATTTAACTTAAACAAGTACAATGGCTCTAGAATAATATACACATTGAGTTGTTGCCTATTGAAAGCAATTAAAAACACAAAGCTTAATTGCCAGTCACCATGTTATAGTCTGTCCGCTCTTCCATATGAACACCTGGATCCCAGAGCCCATAACAGCTGGAGACACCAAATTACGCTGTGCAAGTATATTTGACTTTGTTTGATTCCCGCCGGTCCCCCAGTCCGATAATGGGGATTTTCCGTAACGCTGTTCCTATAATCACCCATATTTCAGAAATTATAAGACCTAGGGTCACCAAATGTTGTCCAAGACGCTTTAGATGAATACGTAGATTAGTGACTTTCCATAACTCCGGTAATTCTTGGCATTTTTTAATCAAATATCTCCTGTTGGTGAATATGTGTCGGAATGCTAAGTTTCATCATGATAGATCAATTTTAAAGGAAGTTATAACCATAAGTGTAATCTCTGTATCAGTCTCTATCTCTCTGAGATCCAGGTATTCACACGGACGGACAGACAGACATAGATCGACTCGTTTTGTCGTGCTGATCAAGAATATATCTCTTGGAAAGAAATATATGTGCATAAATATTTGAATGTCTCTCATTTTTAGTGGTACCGGTACATTTGTTTTTGGTATGCAGAAGTGTGTACTTGTAGTCTATTTTGAGAATGACTGTGCAAAATTCTTCTTTGGTCGCCATTCTTAGTACCGTTTTCATAAATTTGTTTGGCGTCATTTGATTTGCTTAGAAAATAAGTATATGTGCAAACAGCGATTAGAGTACTTTTGACGGTCAGTGTGCTACAAAGTTTATGTCTTTTCATTAAATAAGTGTAAAACATATTTAAAACAAGAAAGGAATGCTAAAGTCGATCAGGCTCAACTCTTAAGTACCACCCCACAAAAAAAAAATTTTTTCAAAAAAATTTAATTATTTAAATAAATTAATTAAATTAAATATAAAATATTCCATACATACGTTTACATCAGAATCGTGTCTATGCGTGTTTGTGTACTTGTACATATGTATGTGTGTATTACATAATTATGTCAAAGCAGCAACAAATACAGCAGCGGACACAGCTTGAGTCTGGTTATATGGCTATAACTTTCTTTCTAATAAACCTATCATAATGAAACTTGGTATACGGATATATAATCACTAACTGGATGTGACTACTAAAATCCAAAATTCCAAGAATTACTGGTGTTATAGAAAATCACAAATGGGGGGGAGTACGGGGTGCATCGGGAAAAATGAACAAACTCGTCCTTTCTCGGGCTTAGAAGAATCTGGATACCAAGTTTGGCTATTCTAGCTCTAGATCCTTGCGTTCATACAGACGGGCAGACAGACTATATCGACTCGGCTTGTCATCCTGATCAAGAATATATATACTTTGTGTGGTCCATGTACACTCGTATCTTTTACCCTTTAGGTACAGGCTATAAAAACGTCAGTAAACTACTTGTAGTGCACTGATTTTTAATAATGAATGTTCATAATGTGGATTTTACCTAAAATGCCACATGGAATGCATTTAATAGCGAATGATCGAGGCTTAATAAGAGGAAAAGGTACAAAAATAGCTGATATAGCTGCCAGAGTCAATCGACACCGAAACACAATAAAAAATTTCCTTAAGAACCCTGATTCTTATGGTGAGATCAAACGCTACGGAAGACCAACCAGCATTGACGAACGTTGTAAACGGGAAGTTAGGCGTCCTGTTGTTCAAAAGGACATGTCTTGTAACGAGATAAGGGGTCATTTAGATCTCAATGTTACTAGAAGACGAGTCCACCAAATTCTGGTTGAAAATATTAACGCTAAATATACTTCCCGAGAGGTGTACCTTCTACTACTTCCACTTCCGTCGGACTCGTTTAGCATTTGCTGAAAAGCACAAATTTTGGACAAATAAATTTCGCAATGTTATTCTTTTCGGCGAGAAAAAACTTAACCTAGACGACCCAGATGGCTGCCTTAAATATTGCCGTAATTTCAGGCCACCACGGCAAACCCGTCATAAGCGGAACTACAGTGGCGTATCATTGATTATTTGGGCTGCATTTGGATATGCTGGAAAGACCTGGATTAGTTTTATTCAAAATTAAACCAAATCGGGATTATATATACATCTGTTGGAAAGTCAACTTATTGAATTTGCGGGAGACCTACTAAGGGATTTTTATCTTTATGAAATACTAGCAGGTATTGCCCGTCTTAACCCGGCTCAATATGTTTCCAATTGTATTTATTTTGTGTGTGCATAACCTACCCATATGTTTTCACCTTAAAGGTTACCAGTAGGAAGGCATTTAAGGTATTTAAATGAACATTTTCTGTTCTTGACAAAAAATTGTTCAGTAGTCCGTTACATTTTTGTTCTTGACAAACTATTTCGTTAAACGAACATGACCACTATAACTAATATTTTTTAAAGCTCGTTTTCCCCCCGTTGGAGCTAGAATTTTCCAAAAGCCTTTCTTAGTGTGCTCCTACACTATGATGGATACTATGAAACGATACTTGAGTCCAAATTTAAATTCACATTTGAGTCTTTTCGTGCCATATTGAGTCAATACGGCCACGCACAAACTCGGAATATGAAACACGGCACTCGTGTCAATGCCGTGCATCGATGAGCCACGATCAAAAAGCACTGGCACCGATACCATCAAAATATCGAAGTTTGAATGCAATAAGCAGAATATTTAAATAATAAAATCTAATTATTTATTGAGATCAATAAGAACAAATCATATACATACATACATACATCTGCCCGCAATGCAAAGCAGAATATGCGTAGCTCCGTTATTCGGTTTCTGCTTTACTATCGTTTTCGCAGTCGTTGCCTAGCGACGGTAACTGTAACATTTTGGCGTTTTGCCTTTGCAATTAACATTAAATGGTCAAAACGAAAGAAGAAGAGCGAGCTAATGACTTAATGGCAGTTGTTGTTGTTTTTAAAGCATTATTTTTTTTTACAATCAAACAACTGTGTTCGATTGCCCAATGTATACATTAATACGAATGTACATACATGCTATATTCATAAACAGGCATACATACATATGTACATATGTTTCTCTTTACTTTTTCAACCGTACGTAGAGAACCGCACACATAGACACGAACTGTTGCTTGTTGTGTGTGTGAGTGTGTGTATGTGATGTCCCCAACTATTTGATATTTGTTGTTGCTGCATAAAGTTATTAATGAAAACACTAATGCCAAATGCAGTAAACAAAGAAAAAATTACTTTTAAAAATGTTATATAATTTTCAATTAATTAACATTTCTTGCTCTGTCAGTGCAAGACGAATGTACATACATGTATATGTAGATACATATGTACATACATAGATGTGCACATACATATGTATCTATGGACATTCACACATTAGTGTCTCACATTTTGCTTTGGCTATTTCAATCGTTTGCACGCAACTACACGAACAGCTGCTTGCATGTGTGTGTGTGTATGTATACTTAGTTGTCCCCAACTGTTTGATATTTTGTATTGTTTGTTCTGCCTGCTTTTGTAAAATGCATATTTTGAAAATCCTTGAATGCAAAGTTGTAGATTTAGTTACGTAGATTACATTACCCAAATTTTAAATCGATTGGACTAAATTTATAACACAAACTTTTCATTTGAAATAGTGAATAAATATTAAAACCCCAATAATTCAAGCTCCAACACAAATTTCGAAAATCCGAGTAAGCAGTTTTGTTTGTATTCTTTAATTGATTTTAGAAACTAAGTTTTAAGTCGATCGGTTGAAAAATGCGGATTTTTCAAACAAACTTTGGAGCTACTTTTCCCCCTTTTGGAGCTCGAATTTTCCAAAATCCCTTCTTTGTGCGCATCTACACCCTGATAGGATACTTGAGCCCAAATTTCAGCTTCCTAGCCTTTACCGTTTGGGCTGTGCGTTGATCACCAATCAGTCAGTCAGTCAGGACAAACTGTTTTATATATATAGATACCTGTTGTAGAGTGGCCAGCGCTAAGCCCAGACTCAAACCTGAACGAAGACCTCTGGGGAATCCTATTAGCCAAAGTTTATAGGAATGGTCGGCAGTTTTACACAACAAAACAACTTAAAGATGTTTTGATTGCAGAATGGGAACAAATCAAGAGAATTGGCCAACACAAAGCCTAACCGCGTAATGAAGATTATAACGGGAAATGGAGAGCATATAAACTATTAAGATATTCTTAACGTCAAAAATTAACACAAGACTTAAACAAATTGAGGCAAAAATGAAAAGTGCTCATATACTTATTTCCTAAGAACTATTTTTATTTAATTTACTAAATTTAAAGTTGAAGCCATTTGATAATTTTGTGTTATATGTTTCAAATCTACCCATTATTACTAGAAATTAAAAATATAGTTTGATTTGTTCGTTTGCTTATAATACTTTTATTTAAAAAAAACATCTATGCACATATACTTCTTTCGATGAGGTATATGCTTTGTGAGTTCTACCACGCCTCTTTCTGCCTGTTACATTTTCAGCTCCCGCAAACCTAATATACTCTTGTACATTTCATGTACAGACTATAGAAATTGCAATCAGAATCTTAACGTATTGCCTTTAAATTTTTTGCAGCAGTCGGGCTTTTAAAATAGTTCAACGCCATGCTGAAGCGTATTAACTACCCTTGTTGTGCTCATAAAGCAGATCATGCATTAAAAAAATTAATAAAAAAATACTAATTTTATATTGCAATGAGTTGCAACGAGCAACTTCCTGTGGCGAACAGCCAAACGGCAATATCCACAATGACCGGAATACTTTCAACTTCAACACCACAGAAACTATCATGCAACTTGAGCGAGGGTGAACCAACTGTCTTTAACGATGGTTTATGTGACTTAGATATGTCTATTAGCCCCGGAAACCCAGACCTTTCGTCCACATCACAGCGTTCGAGTAACAATCGCAAAGTTAGCAGCAATATTGTAGCTAAGCGGCATGCTACTAATCTCTCTCGTATACGTCCACAGTCCAGTTATTCGGCAAGAGTTCTTGTATTCGATGATCTCGACCAAGAGATTGCAACATCAACTGAAGTACTGGCAATCAATGACGAAAGTCTTACTGCCAAGTCTTCGGATGGTTTGGAGATGTTTCCCATTTCTCCTGCAAAGATTGGTGATGCGACATGCTCATCGTCAACACAATCCTTGGTGCGTAACTTAAATCTAACTAAATCATCATCAGGTGGATTGTCTGGAAGTTCCAACTCCCTACATTCACGAGGCTACACTGCACTTTTACGCAAGATATCCTACCAGCAGCGTGCGGTAAGCAGTGGTAAGTTCCCTTTGTTCCTAATATTTACTTGCTTACAAACTTTAAATGTTCATATCAGAAACCTCAAATTTGTTGCGCATGCGGAATTCATCTTTGGGAAAATCTGCACCCTGTCTCACAGGCAAATATATTCGCTTTGAGCTCAGCGCCTCATCTACGCGGCCAGTTCACAGCAACTCTACGTTAACCTCACCGGCTTCAGCATTGAACATCTCACGAGCTCCCAATTATGCTGGCAGTAGCATAAACAAGCACCATCTCCACGGTGTTTTAATACGAGGTGGCGGAGGCACTGTTGCTTCGAGTGGCGTGGCCCATCACCGCCTGAGTTTGATGACAAACACTGCTGCAAACTCTCGTACCCATTCCCCTTACTTAGCTAGTCCGATTGAAAGCCCACGTATTAATTCACCTATGCCATTTGTGTTTGCGCCTATTAAACGCATTGCCTCGTGTCGCGGTGTTGATGGACGTCGGTGGTCGGTGGCTTCGTTGCCGTCCTCGGGGTATGGCACAACCCCTGGTAGTTCTAATTTATCGGTAAAGTTAAAAACTATACATGTCTACAAATTTTAGACTTTCTTATTTCAGTCGCAGTGCTCTAGCCAGGAGACCCTTAACCAATTGCACCATAACATACCTAAAAACCAGGATGAAATTGGCGTGTCTACGGCTATTGGGCGCGTCGTCTGCTGCCCAGAACACTCTAAACAACATGGTGTCAAACACGTTGGCGTGGACCAAAAGTTCAAGGTGATGCAGCCGCAAAAACTTCCACCACCTACTGTTTGTGTCAATTGTTGTGTCGACTTAAAGGAAAACTCTGTCGTGGGTCAACCGATTCCAAAAAATACAAGCGGCCGCATATCACCCAATTTTCGTCCCCGTTCGCGATCTCTATCCAGCCCTTCTCGTTCACCAATTGTAGAGAACGAAATTTCCATGATGAACACTCTTTATAAGGATCGTTTTCCTAAAGCCACGCATCAAATGGAAGATCGTCTTACCCACTTTATCAATGAAAACAAAAGTGCTGCTTGTAATAATTTTCGTGATTCGCAACCAATCGTACGGTATGGAAAAAAAGTTTGCACCGACTAACATAATTAACAATAATTTTCCGTTTACGATACGTTTTAATTTTTTTTTTTTTTTTGGAAATAGATTTGTTCATCATCAAGTTCTGGAAATGGCTCGAGATTGCCTGCACAAATCTGAGGCTAGGCTAATCACATCGCAATATTTTTATGAGCTAAGTGAAAACTTGGAACGTCTGCTTTTAGAGACCAAGGAAAAATCTCCTGAAGCGGCTGCTGACCTTACTGGTGTTATTAAAAAATTGCTTTTGATAATTTCACGCCCAGCGCGCCTCCTTGAGTGCCTTGAATTTGACCCACAAGAGTTTTACCATTTGCTTGAAGCTGCCGAAGGACAAGCAAGAGCAATTCAAGGCATAAAGGCAGATATTCCCCAATATATTATTCATAAACTGGGTCTCAACCGCGATCCCTTAGTAGAGTTACAACAAGAGCTTATAGAAACTCAGCAGATATGCGCAGAGAAAATGGCCGCTAATGCCATTAACTCACCCAACCATTTGATTTTTGACTCATGCAGCGCAAATGAAGTCGACGTCAGAAAGCAGAGCAATGACGGAAGCGGCGCAAGTGGTTGCAGCACTCCGCTTCAATTGCCCCAGCAACCACCGCAAACACCGGTAGCCAGTGATGAGAAACCAATTTCAAGCTTTGATTTGTCATCTTGTCATATAAAAGCACCGAAAGGTGAAATGAATGAGGAAGCTAAGGTATTGACACATCAACAACCCTTGCCGCATGAAAATGACTTCGATATAGCAAAGCTGATCTCAAATGGGGCATATGGTGCCGTCTACCTAGTTAAACACAAAACAACACGACAGCGCTTTGCTATGAAAAAAATCAACAAGAACAATTTAATTTTACGAAATCAAGTGGAGCAGGTGTTTGCGGAACGCGATATACTATCGTTCGCAGATAATCCTTTCGTCGTAAGCATGTACTGCTCCTTTGAAACAAAAAAACACCTGTGCCTGGTTATGGAGTACGTTGAAGGTGGTGACTGTGGTACACTTCTGAAAAACATTGGGCCACTACCCGCCGACATGGCGCGTTTTTATTTTGCTGAAACAGTATTAGCCGTGGAATACCTCCACAGCTATGGAATCGTGCATCGCGATCTTAAACCTGACAATCTGCTTATCACGGCTCTGGGCCACATTAAGCTTACAGATTTCGGCCTCTCTAAAATGGGTCTTATGTCATTGGCCACAAATCTGTATGAAGGCTATATAGATTCGGAAACCCGTCAATTTTCTGATAAGCAGGTAAAAAATGGGCTTAAATAGGCTATAAGAATATTTTATAGTTGTATTTGTATTATATTTTCTTAGGTTTATGGAACTCCCGAGTATATAGCACCAGAAGTAATATTAAGGCAGGGCTACGGAAAACCCGTCGACTGGTGGTCGATGGGTATTATACTTTACGAGTTTCTCATTGGCTGCGTGCCTTTTTTCGGCGAAACCGCTGAAGAATTGTTTGCACATACAGTAAACGATGACATTGAGTGGCCAGACAAAGAGGATTGGCCGGTACAACCAGAGGCCAGAGATATCATAACGCAACTACTTCAACAGAATCCTCGCGATCGCCTGGGGACTCAAACGGGGGTAATTGAGGTAAAGGATCACGTGTACTTTTCTGGCATGGACTGGAACTCTCTGCTACGTCAAAAAGCTGAGTTTGTCCCACAATTATGCAGTGAAGAAGACACCAGCTATTTTGATAGTACGTAATGCACTTCTATGTAAAACCGTTGCTATAAACTCATTTATTTTTTTTTTTAAAAGCACGCATGGATCGCTATAATCATGATTTGGATGGTGATGACACAGACGACACAGATGACACGCCGGTCTTTGGTTCATTCAATTCCTACACTCCCCAGTACCGTAAACAGCATTACAGCTGGTCGCGTCATGCTACGGTTAATAGTGCTTCTGAACCGAATATCCTGAAAGAGCGAATTCCCGCTCCAACGGGAGATATTACTTCAAACGAAACTGATGATAATGTTCCAGCCGGAACCACATTGAAGCGAACTACAATTGGCGAGGGTGTATTGGTTAATAAATTTTTGAACACGCCACAGCTACGTAAACTAGATGTGAGTTCAGTGATTTCCACAATTTTAAAAACACCCAACAATTTGTCCTGTCTTACAGTTATCTTCGGGCTGTTTTAAGGTGCCTTCCACACCAGATGCAGACTATTTACCGGAGCTGCTACATAATGTGACTATTGGTAATGATGCTGAGTTGCGCATGCTAAATTGCTATTTGCAGCCTGCATCATTATCGGTGAAAAACGGGAGTGAAAGGTCTGCCCGTTTGCAACAACGGCACAGTATGCCGCCCAACACAAATATAAACACGTCGGTATCCCAGCCTATGACCAAGGTTCCGTCTGTAACTTTGGCGGCAACAGTAGGAAACTTCTCGCGCAGCACACCTGAGAGCTCTCAAACAGACAGCGATGACTTCTCCCCCCAAATCAATCGAAAGCGAAAAGGTGTTGTCTCTCGTGATATTCTACCTCGCTTTTCTATATCCATAGAGGATGAGACAGTTGGCGGTGGAACTTCTTCGACAGGAATCACTTGTGAGCCCCATGTATCGCACCAGCCCAATACAAGAGATGGTCCAGCTGGAGATACTTTTAACAAACATCACCGTTCACGTTCCATCGTTAAGTCTGCTTCAGCGCTTGGTCTATCGCTGATGGCATCATCAACGCTGGACACAAACCAACTGGCACCACAGATATGTGGTATGCAGTCGCCTGGGGGAGGGGGCAATGGGTCAAGCACTGCCAGTTCCCGTGATACTTCCCCATGCCGTGAGCTTTCGCCGCTAGTAACTAATTTAAAGCCACCTATAATTATAAGACGTGGCCCACAAGGCTTTGGGTTTACTGTACACACTATCAGAGTATACTATGGAGACACGGATTTCTATACCATGCATCATCTGGTCATGGCTGTGGATGAGGGAAGTCCAGCTTTTGAGGCTGGCCTTCGTCCCGCAGATTTAATAACACATGTCAATGGAGAAGCTGTACAGGGTCTCTTCCATACTCAGGTACTGCAGCTGCTTTTAAGTGGCGGCGAACACGTGACATTACGCTCCACCCCCCTAGAACACACCAGCATTCAAACCGGAGGTCGAAAACGTGACTTGCTGCAGAGTAAACTGGCAAAAAAGGGCGTTAACCGGCCGAAAAAACAAACAAAAAGAGATCACGATAAAAAACGTAAAACTTCGTTGTTTCGCAGGATAAGCAGTAAAAGAGCAAGTGCTGAAATGCACCAGGTAAGAACGATGTCAATGATTATAACGCTAAATTAATGCAATTTCTATAGTATACGGCCGCCACAAGTTCGCCAACCACGCCCTCCGCTTGCAACCCGTCGTCATTCGAATATTCGCATCAGAGCAGCAGCTGCTACCAATCAGCTGCAAACTCATCTTCTCAATCAACTTCCCCTTCATCCTCGTCACCTAATACGCCCACCGGTCCCTCTAGTAGCTGTGCTGCATCTAACATGTTTGCTGCATCTTCAGTTCAAGTTACGTTACCTGGAAGTATCGCAACGCCGACAAATATAGTTTTACTACCGCATCTGGGAGCAGCTGTAGGTTCCACTTCTATTACCAATGTACCAGGTGCGTAGTAATAAATTAATTCTATTACTTTTATACCCTGTACCCAAAAGGTGAAAGGGTATACTAGTTTTCTGCGAATGTATGTAGTAGGCAAAACGAGTCGATATAGCCATGTCTGTCCGTCCGTCTGTATGAACGCAAGAATCTCAGAAAGTATAAGAGCTATAATAACCAAACTTGGTATCCAGATTCAAAGTCCGAGAAAGGCCGAGTTTGTGTTTTTTTTTCTGATACCCCCCCTAAAGTCGCATTCCGTTAATAATAATGTTTCGTTATGGTAGATCAATTAAAAAGAAAGTTATAGGCATAAATATAATCTCTGCCCGCAGCTGTAGTTGTTGCGGCTTTCCCTTATTTCTGTACTGCATACATACTTGCACGAAGATGTCGTATTTGTGTACGCTGTGCAAGTTTATTTATTTATTTTTTATTGTCCCTCCCATCACCCCACTGCTCCGGTAATGGGGATTTTCCGTAACGCCGTTCGTATAATCCCCTATATCTGGGAGACTATAAGAGCTAATAACACCAAATTGTATTCCAGAAAATGTGTATTTGGAATTTCCCTCCCTCTCCACCGTAATCACTGATCCATAACTCCCGTATTTATTGGAATTTTTCATTGAACTTCGGAAAATTTTCATAATGATAGGCCGTTTTAACAGGAAGTTATTGCCATATATATATACAGTGGGCGCCAAAAGTCTACATACGATCCAATATTTTTATACCTGGCCGAACCAAAGATATTTATTAAAAAATTAATGATGCAGTTTCGTAGCTTATCTATTCTTATGAAAGAAAACGAAAAGTTGTTAACTTAAGATGTATCCTTATTTCTTCCTTGACAAAATTGTACGTACGATTTAATTTGACACTATATTCTTCGAGCTGTGCATCGCCAATAAAACGGTACGCCCTCGATTATTAAAGCTCTTGATAATGCTTGGTTCTAAAAATTCTTCTTTATATTCTTTAGAGGCTTTCTGAGAACTTGCAAGAGGATTTCGTTCATAGAAATGGCTTGCCATAAAGAAATCTCCACCAAATTGCGAAAATTACTCCTAAAGTACAGAATTGAGAACAAAATGAACTAAACTTTTAAATCTTGGCAAGTTTACTGTACAGACAATATTGAAAAACTATAAGAACAATAGCCGTGTCGAGAATAAGCCTCGAAGTAATTGACCAAAAATGATTGATCATAGATTTCTCTTTTATTTTGAATGAAGTGGACAAAATTCCAAAGATTCGTGGTTCAAAATTAGCCGAACACTTCGCTTTCATATCACTAAAAACTGTGCATACAAGAACAATTCAAAATTTTGCAAAACAAAAATGGTTTTCACAGCAGAGCTCCAAGGAATAAAACCGCTAACAATCGAAAAAAAAATGTAAGATTTGTTTAGGAAATTCGTATAAATATAAAGACAAGGACTTCGATTTTTGGAGAAGTTTTGCTTACCGACGAATCAATGTTTCATGCATTCGAAATGGAAGAATCAAAGTTTACCGAAAGATAAACGCAGCATTGAATCCTAATCAAGGTATTTATTAAAAAACTAACGGTGCAGTTTCGTAGCTTCTTTATTTTAATGGATGAAAACGAAAAATCATAAACTTATAATGTATCGTTACAAAGATATAAACGAAAAAGCATATTTCTTACTTGACAAAAGTGTACGTACGATTTCATTTCAAACTTTATTCTTCGAGCTGTACATCGCCAATAAAACGGTACGCCTTCGGTTTTAAAAGTTCTTGATTTTGCTTGGTTCTAGAAATTATTCGCATATCGTTTAGAAGCTTTCTGAGAACTCGCAAGAGGATTACGTGCATAGAAATGGCTTGCCATAAAGAAACCTCCACCGATTTGCGAAAATTACTCTTAAATTACAGAAATAAGAACTAAAAGTACTAAACTTTTAAATATTAGCAAGTTTACTGTACAGACAATATTAAAAAACTGTAAGAACAATAGCAGTGTCGAGAATAAGCCTCGAAGTAGTTGACCAAAAATGATTGATTATAGAGATTTCTGATTTATTTTGAAAGATGTGGACAAAATTCCAAAGATTCTTGCTCCAAAATTAGCCGAACACACGGCTTCCATATCACAAAAAACTGTGCATCCAAGAACAATTCAAAAAACTTTAAACATAAATGGTTTTCACAGCAGAGGTCCAAAAAAAAAAAAACCGAAAAGAGTTTTGCTTACCGACGAATCAATGTTTAATGTATTCGGAAATAATGGAAGAACTGAAGTTTAGCGAAAGGTAAACGGAGCATTGAATCCTAATCATTTGGTCGTTACAGTCCAACATGACGGAGGTAGTGTGATAGTTTGGGGTGCTGTTGCTATGTCTGGAGTAGGAAATTTGGATTTTATCATGGGCAATATGGATCGTCTTGACTTCAAGAATATATTGGAACAAAATTTAAATGAAATGGTCGATGGTTGTTCCAACAGGACATCAACCCAAAACGTACGGATTACGTTGTCAGGGTTTGGTTGCTCTACAATGCACCACGCCAATTGAATATTCCGCAATAAAGCCAGGATTTGAACAATATTGGGCACACATGGGACCTTTTAGACCGGAAGCTGAGGAAATATGACGTTACCAGTGCGTGAAGCCTGAAGGAAGGGCTTCAGTCTACTTTGCAGAATAAAAACACCGAAGCGTCTTCAGACCGTCATTGAAGAACGTGGAGGTCCTACCAAATATTAAAATAAATATTATGATGGGGGTCAAGTGCTTTAAATCTCCGAATTTTTACGAATTCTCACAAATTTTTACGTCGTATGTACGCTTTTGTCAAGGAAGAAATGTGGTTTTTCGTTTATATCTTTGTAAGGATACATCTTAAGTTAATCATTTTTCGTTTTCTTCCATAAGAATAGATAAGCTACGAAACTGCATCATTAGTTTTATAATAAATATCTTTAGTTCGGCCAGGTAGCAAAATATTGGATCGTATGTAGACTTTTGGCGCCCACTGTATGTATGTATGTACGTACATATAGCATGTATGTATGTATGTATGTATACATTGGACAATCGAGCACTGTTGTTTGATTGTAATAAATAATGTTCTATGATTTTAAATAAAATTTTAAAAACGAAAAACAACAACAACTGCAAGTCAATGGCTCGCGCTTCTTCTTTCGTTTTGATCATTTACGCCTGTTAATTTTAAAGGCAAAATGCCAAAAGTTTACAGTTACCGCCGCTAACCGAAAGCGGACCTACGCATATTCTTCTTTGCGTTGCGGGCAGATGTACATATGTATGTTTGTATATGATTTGTTCTAATTGATCTCAATAAATTATAAGATGTTATTATTTAAATTTTCTGTTAATTGCATTCAAACTTCGATGGAATTATTGATTGTATCGACGGATTCAACTATCGATAGTTTTGATACTCTAGCACATAGAGCATCCGACTGGTAAAAGTTTCGGTAAAAGTTTTACCAATTTTAAACAAAATTTAATGCTGGCTCTTTGTTCGAAGCTCATTTTCGCACCGATAACACAAACATACTGTCACATAAAACGCAATAACTTCACTTCCAATCGATGAAATGTCATGAAATTCTCACTGGACAATCGATAAAGATAGCAAATTCCAACGCACCAGTCGACATATAGATAGCGCCACCAGGGGGCGCTAGATTCAGAAGTTCCTGTTGACTTTGGAACGCACCTTGTATATATACCTCACTAAAATAATTATATTATTATTATTTCCTAGTGCAACAAGAAATAAATTCTTATAAATTAATGCACTAGTCACTAGAAACATACAATTTTCATTAAACAAATTTAAGACGGTTTGATTAATCTGGTTAACCTATTTTATAAAATTGAAGTTAAATCTAATAGACTATATTATGTTGTAGATATTTTATGTTGTTAGTTACTTATTTTTAAGAACAAATTTAATTTTTCCCTAAATTGCGATGCACTACTAATTTTCTTTAAATATTGAGGTAGCTGATTCCACAGCCGAATAGCATGAATAAAGAACTGCCGTTCAGAACAGCCAAGATTGTATCGTATAGTGTTTATATTATTGGTTCTTGAGGATGCACTAAAACGTAGTTTTTCAAATAAATAGCCCGGTTCTCTGGTATATATAATTTTATGCATCATAATTAAGTTTCTAGAATCTACCCATGTTCTAAACTTCATATGGTAAATGCTGTGTGCCAAACTGGATATGTGCTCTCCCCTCTTTACATTATAAACATATCGGGCTATATTATTATATGCTACATTTAGTTTGTGCTGAGAGGCACTATCGCAGTTACTAAAAATTTCGATACCATAGCAGAGCGTGGGTATCAGATAGGTTTTAGCGATTAATAGTCTGATATCTATGGGCAAGAATTGCTGAGTCAACGAAAGTTGTCTGAGTAAGCCATAAGTTTTTCCTGCAGCCTTGGATACGTGATCACTCCAGGACAAAGAACGGTTGAAGGTGATACCAAGATTTAGAATATGATCCACGTATTGAATTTGTGCGTTATTGAGTGATAACTTAGGCAAATTTTCCGTACTAAGTAACTTTTTATATATTATAATGCATTTCGATTTTCCAGGATTTAGTGACAAGACATTGCACTTAGCCCATTTACTAACATTTGACAGTTCATCATTACATAAATTCACACACTCATTTATACTACGTAACGGACAACTAACATACATTTGGACATCATCAGCGTACATATGAACACTTCAATTGGACAACGAGGCCGGGAGATCATTAACATATAACGAGAAGAGGAGTGGACCAAGGATTGAACCTTGGGGTACTCCACGTTTTACAAGTAGAAATGTTGATATAGCACTATCGGTTGTCACAGCTTGGCTTCGTCCATGTAAATAGGACGATATTAATTTTACAGCACTGCTTGTAAAATTAAAGAATTTGTGTAACTTCGTACATAAGATATTATGATCTACCGTTTGCTAAAGTCTAGAAGCATC